ATTTGAATATGGCAACTAGTCATTTAACTCACGCTTAGCTAGATTAAGGCCTTTTTAATACAACACAAACACTCACTGCTGGCATTTGAACCAGTAACATTAAAGAGGGCAATCAACATAATAACAAATACAACTAGCAAAAAAAAAAATCACGTTTGGGATCAAATAGAGCTGGTATTGGTAAATACAACTCCTATGTTGGAAGACTAGAAAGTAAGTCAGGAACTCCTGAAAGCCAGTGAATGGGCTGTGTTCCACCCAAAAAGTGCAGTCCAGCCTCTTATCTCAGGTGTACCTGGATGAGGACCTTCTCCAATTTCCTCTTTCCTGAGAGAACCTTTTCAGACTACAGTCAAGCTTGCCAAGTATCCTCAGTAAACTAACCATACACACTCCATTGTGGGTAGGTTTAAATTTACTAATTATAAAAAGTCAAAATTCAGAAGTAACTTTCAACTCATATTATTGCTTTTGTAATTTAAATTTAAGCAAGATTATCTGGGTATTTGTCCATTCAGTGTTTTTATTCACTTCATTCAGCAAATGTTTATTGAGCACATACAATATGTCTGGTATTGTTTGGGTGCTGGGGTCCAGCAAAATTTGAAAATTGTTGAAAATCCAACCCCTTCAGGGCTTACATGTAGTGAGGTGAGCATTTAAAATAAAACGAATAGGTAAAATGTATAGGATGTTGTGACCAGTAAGCAGGTAAAACACACTTCTGGTTGTGTCTGTGTGGGCTATGGAGGTGTGGCCTTGGGGTCTACACCTGCTCTCTCACCCATTCCTCTCTGGTGCTGATCCCCTGCTCTGTTTCGTGGCTACCATGAGCTGCATCTTGCTCCACTGCCTCTTCTGTCATAACAGTTCTGCCTTGGAGCTAGCCAACAGTGGACTAGATTGCCTTAAACTGTGAGCCAAATTAAACCTCTCCTCCTTTAAGTAGTGGGTGTCAGACATTGTGTCCAGCAATAGGAAAGCTGACCAACACATATATCATGTAAAGTTAAGTACTATGGAAAAATTAAACAGGAAGGAGTAGAGCTAGATGTGTGGTTGTGTTGGTGGGGTTATTATTTAAGTAAGAAGTAATTGATAAGTGATTTTGGAGCAGAGATTTGAAAGAGTTGAAAGAAGCCATGCAGTTTTCTGGGAGAAGACCTTCCATGCAGAGAGAATTGTAACTGTGTCTCTGAGGGTCACATTTGGAGAACACGCCAATGAGTAAGAAAAGTGTGAACTGGAACAGGGGTACATGAGTCAACTTTCCATTGCTTTGACAAAATACTTCAGATCATAAACTTGTAAAGAGGAAGACTTATTTTGGTGCATGGTTGCAGAAGTTTAAATCCATGGTCACTTGTCCCAGTCACTTAGGAACTGTGACAAGACAGAACATCATGACAGGAAGCACACAGGGACCAAAGCTGGTCATTCATGGCAGCCTGGAAGGGGAGAGAAGAAGAAGGGCCAAGTTCACATGCTACCTTCAAGGGCATGATCCCATGACCTCACTCCCTTCCACTAGGCCCCACCCGAAAGGTTCCACTGGTCCAATAGCATCACAGGCTGCCAACCAAGCCATTGCCACATGAGCCTTTAGGGAACACTTAAGATCCACCCTTAACAAGGAAGAAGGGAGAAAGTGACAAGGGATGATGGGGAGATGAGCTATGCAGTTTGTAAGGAGTCTTTTGTTTTTCACTCTGAGATTGGAAACTTCAGGAGGGTTTTATTTTGAAGTGTAACATAACCATGTCTTAAAAGGAAAACTCTACCACTGTGTCAGAAACAGAAGATAATTTAGGTGTGAAAGGTGAGAATGCTTAGGGGCTGTCACAAAAACCCAAGCAAAGGATGGTGACAGGTAGGAAGAGTCAGATTCTGGACTTAACGGTACTGACAACACTTGTTGATGGATTGGATGTGGTATGGAGAAAGACAAAAAGTAAGACGACTTAACAGAATTTTGACTTGAGCAGCCCGAAGTTGCCATTTAGTGAGAAGGAAAAAGTAAGGAAGTTGGAAATAAGCCAGTCCTAAAACTGTTTTTCCATTCTGTATTCACATCCTCATTATTCTTTTCATATTTAAAATATGAAGACTTTATACTTTTATATTATCAATCCCCTTCCCAACATGTCATATCAACATATTTTTATCCACTAGTCTGTATCCTGTTTGAGATTAACTCCTCATTTATAATCGCTATTTAAGGAAAGTGGCCACAAGTAATGAAACATTTTAATGTATTTAGCATATTGATAAGTCTTAGAATATTTTATTTAAGTAAAACCTCACAAGATTTACCTAACTCATCTTCTATCATCCTCCAAAAGGTAGCTCAATGAACATTTGTCAAATTTAAACATTCATTCATTCAGCTATTCAAAACTTTTACTGTGTGCCATTATTTTTCAATGTACTACATTAGGGTTATATCAGTGAGTAAAACAGCAAATACTGTCATAGACTTTACATTCTAAAGAGGGGGAGGCAGGAAACAAGTGAACAGTTAACAGATGCTTAGTACTGACAGGGGACTGAAAACAACCCTTATAACAGAACTGCAATCAGTCATCCTGTAAATCAAGAACAATTGCCTTAAGCAAAAGCTAGTTTTCTCACTGAGTGTGAACAAAGGCTTTTTGTAGTAGACAGAATAATGACTCCAAAGATGTCTGTGTGCTGATCCCCAGAACTTGAGAATAGGTTACTTTCCATGTTGAGAGAGATTTTGTAGATAAAATTGTGTTAAGACCCATGAAATAGAGAAATTTCCTGGATTATTCAGATAAGTACAATTGACTCTCAAGCTTTCTTAGAAGGGGTGGATGGAAACTCAGAGGCATACTCAGAGAGGGGATGAGAGAAACAGGTCAGAGCCATGGAGAACAGGCAACCTCCAGAAGCTGGAAGAAAAGAGATATATTCTCACCCGGGCCCTCCAGAGGAACAAAGCTGTCTGTAGTTTAATCTGGGGCCCTGTAGATTCATTTATTACTTCTGACTATAAGATAAAATTGTGTTCAGCCATTAAACTCATAATAGTCTGCTAAAACAATAATTTACAAAACTGTATGTAGGAAGGAATAGGAATACAACACGCAGTTACATCCTTAGAAAACATCGCTAGTTTTATTGATCTGTAGCACTACTGAAAACAGTGTTGCTGCATTAAATTCAGAACCTCTGGCCACCCCTCGCCATCCTGTTGCCCTCTCGGCCTGTCCTTCGGGAGTCAGATTTTGCACTAGTGCAGAAGAGAGAGTTCATGATAGGCTTGCACTAGTGTGGGAGAAATGGAAATGTGGGCAATAGGCAGATCATGAATGTGTTGATAGAAAGCGTTGCTAAAACTTACTGATCCAGGGCCTGAGGGAAAAAAGGATGAGTCAGGATGACAGCGGGGCCTTGGGCTGGAGCAACTGATGGATGGATAGGCAGTGGCCTTCCTGACACAGGGAGGACTGGAGGGGCTGAGAGAAATGAGGCAGTCAGCCATGGCCTCATGAAGTCAGCAAGGTATATAGGAAGTCTTGAGTATTCGAAAACACCGTATGAGGAAAACAGAATTTTATATAGCCAGGTATAACATAGAGAAAATGCCTACTGTTAAATTGGAAAAAGACTTTAAAAGTTACGTTAGACCGTGACTAATGCAATTCAGTAAGGACACTCCCAAAGCATCCCCGAAAATTTATAATTTCTGCATAGAAAATTCAAGAGGAGTATGTTTTATATTCTGATTCACTATTCCACTACACTTACAAGCAAAGTTTACAGTTTATAGATAAAACTCTCTTTTATTTCTTCCTGTCAAGGGAAAAATAAATGACTTTTAAAATCTCTTCATAGAGTTGAATTCATTGCTAAAATTCTTCCTCTAAGTTACATTAACAATGAATATTTGTAAACATTTCTATACACACATATTCTGTTGTGCCTTAAAGGAGGTACACATAGGAACTTTATTATAGGCCAAGAATGGTATGTTAGGTATTTTGTAAAGAGTCTTTTAAATTCTGCGTATTGTAATAGTTGAAGAAAGATTAATTTAATAATTTGATGAAAAATTGAGTAACTGGATTTTAAAATATATATTTAAATATACATTATATATTATAAATAATATAAAGTAGGACAGTTGTCCTCCTACTGAATCTTTTACAAACTTGGTAATTTGATTATTGTAGGTTAATGCTTTAATTCCAAGGTTAATTGTCAGAGACCAGGGGAGAATTGAGGCCTAATCGGTCTCCTCTGTGATCACAAAGAAGAAAGGCCGCACTCAGGGGTGATTGCATAGTGCAGGTTAAAATGAAAACAGTTGAGGTTAAGTTATTTACCAGAGTATGTACTAGTGGATATTGGAAAGCAGATGAAGCTTGTGTCACTTTGCTTGTACCCGAGTCTGGGTGAATAAAGGCAAGATAAGCCAGACGGGGCAGGGCGGGGGGCTCCTCTGCCTACTAGAGGCAAGAGTCCCCTGGCTGCCCGCATGTTAACCTGACTCTGTCTCTGTCATTCATCCTCATTAGCCCCTGGGTCAGGGAGAACAAAGTAGCAGATCTAGGTTCTGGAACAAGGCCAACCGGGTTGGTTCTTTGCTACAGGTGGCACCCCAGTGTAGGGCTTGGGATCCAAGCTCAGCTAGAGTTTGCCCTGCAGAACTATGAAAGCCATATATGTGTATGCGTGTGTATACTGAGTTTATTGATTAAAATGTGAAAATGGGATCTCTGGATTTCAAATGAATTTGTCACACCTAAATTATGTTATATGATGAAAGTTTCCAGTGGTTGAAATACAATGACTTGTTGCAACGTAATATGGTATTTAGTTCTCTTTTTTTAAAATTATTAATTTTGGAAATTTACTACTGGGGCAAAAAACGTTTTTTCTAGGCTCACAGTAAATCAGCATTGACAAATAAGTTTTCTCCCTCTGTCTCCCCGCTCTCCCTCTCCCTCTTCATCTCTTCCCTCCCCATGAAGATGGTCCGGGAGCAGTACACAGCCAGTACAGAAGGCACCCACATAGAGAGGCCAGAGAACCAGTATGTCTACAAAATCGGCATTTACGGCTGGAGGAAGCGTTGCCTCTACTTGTTTGTTCTTCTCTTGCTCATCATCCTTGTTGTGAATTTTGCTCTTACAATTTGGATTCTTAAAGTGATGTGGTTTTCTCCAGTAAGTATTATTTCTTCCCTGTGGTAAGCTTGCCTTGTGTTCACTGTATCACTGAGTCCTTGTTGTATCAGTTGAAGTTTCTTAATGTACTAAGGATTTGTTTCTATTCTATCTGCATCAGAACATTCAGTAGCAAAATGTGTATGTAACAATTACTTTTTCCTTTTTATCTCATTGTGAAATATAGTGTGTTTTGTTTGCACTGTAATTTTTTTCATTAGTCATTATCTCTATATGGTGGGAAAATTTATAATCTTGAATTTGTGGTTGAGTCCAGATGGCTTAATAGTTATTTGAAACTCATCAATCTGTAAAATTGTATAAATCATCTATTTTCCTAATCTCACTAACATAGATATATACCATTTAGATGCCTGTATTTGTCTGTTTTGTGTTACTAAAATGAAATAAATACCTGAGGCAGACTAACTCTATGAAGAAAAGAGGTTTATTCAGCTCATGGTTTTGGAGGTTTGGGAGCATGGCACGTACATTGGCTCAGCTCTGGTGAGGACCTTCTAGTGGGTGGTGGAAATGCATGCAAGAAGAAGTCACAACGCCAAACAAAAAGTCAAAGTGCCTGGGCAGAGCCTGGCTCAAGCTTTTATAACCAACCAGGGTCCCGGGAGAAATAACTCAGTCTCTTCCAAGGGTATATTACCCCAGCCCACGGATCTCCCGCTGAGCCCACCTGGTAAAAGTTCACACCATCCCCTCACACTTCCACCTTGAGGACCAAACCCCAAACACTTTAACCTTTGGAGGGACACTCTTCAACCGAAGCCAGCCACAGTACTGCCAAAACTCAATCTTTACAGAATCCATTTTAATACACAATAAATTCATGTGCACACTTCAACATTCAACATCAGATTTAGTAAATAAAATGCCAGCACTCCTAAGATATTCATATTTCATTGTAAATACCTTCGTGTTTAAAGATAACTGCATAATTTTATATGCCCTGACAATATGTTTTCTCCTTTTTGTTTGCCGTGTGATGCTGAGCATTAAATTCACGGCCTTGCAGATGCCAGACAAGCATTCTACCACTGAACTACATCCCCAATCCCTATTTTGTGTATTTTTTGAAAAAAAAATGCCGATTTAATGCAGAATACATTAATTTTTCAAGACACAATGAGAAAATCTTGCTGCTGAGAACAGCACCGGTTAAGTCACTGTGATCTCAGAAAGGACATGAAGGTGCAATTTTACATGAGCTTTTTCTGAGCAATAGTTACAGCATGTGGCCTAAAATGCCTTCCATTAATTAGGATCCTTCACTTTCTATGTAATTATTTTCATCCCTTCAGGCAGTGGACACATTTCTTTTGTCGAGAAAAATAAATATTTCTCTTCTCATATATGCAAAGAGTTAAGATATCAACAGAATTAAAATATAGTTTGAAATGTGTTATTTGATATATTTAGTATATATTAATATAAATTTATTAATATAAACATATTTATAATTATTAATTTTATATAAACAAATATATAGAAACATAGCAATATTTTTCCTTTTTTATTAGTGCATGTTTGCAGCCTGTAATGTTTACATTCCTTGTGTGGAGCTGATCCATGTGCATAACACATCTGAATCCCTTTTTTCATCCCTTTCCCTCCTTTTTGCCCCTCTCCCTCCAACTCTTGATCCCCTTTCCATTTGAGAAAAACCTCCCTACTTCCTGTTACCTTTTATTTTGCTCTTTATTTATAATTTGGGGTTCTTATACAAGAGAAATGCAATATTGAAACTTGTGTATCTGACTTATTTCACTTAAGATTATGGTCTCAAGGTGCATCCAGTTTCCTACAAATGACTTGTTTATCTTTATGGCAGAGTAGTACCAGAGTAAATACCACATCATTTTTATCCATTTGTCTGTCAGTGGACATATAGGCTGCTTCCAAGATTTAGCTGTTATAATTTAAGCTGCTAGAAACATAGGTATGCATGTATCACTATAATAGGATGTCTTCAACTCTTTCAGGAAAATACTTGGAAGAGAAATAGCTGGGTCAATGGAATTTCTAGTTTTAGTTTTTTGAGGAATCTCCATACTGATTTCTGCAGTAGTTATAGGGTTTCTTTTTTCCCTACAGCCTGACCAACATTTGTTATTATTTGATTTCTTGAGAATGTCCATTTTTTCTGGGGTAAGATGGAATCTCTGTGTGGTTTTAGCTTGCATTTTTCTAATGGACAGTGATCATGAGCATTTCTTCATATACTTATTGGCCATTTGTACTTCTCTAAAGTATTTATTCATTCACTTCCCTATTTTTTGATTGGGTCGTTTATTTTGGATAGTCTAATGTCTTTTAGTTCTTTATATATTCTAGATATTAGTCCTCTGCCCAAGGGATAGCTGGCAAAATATTTTCCCATTCTGTAGGTTTTCTTTTCACTCAGTTAGTTTTACTGTGCAGAAGTTTTTTTAATTTGACATGGTCTTATTTGTTGATTCTTAGTGCTATTTTCTGGGGTTCTGTTCAAAAAGTCCTTGCTTATACCTATAACTTCAAGGTTAACCTCTTTTATCTTCCAGCAAGTGAGGTACTTTTGCTTTAATGGTTAGATCTTTTATTGATTTTGATTTTAGTTTAGTACATGGTTAAGAGATATAGATCTAGATTCAATCTTCTGCATGTGGATAACCAGTTTCCCAACACAGTTTATTAAAGAGGCTATCTTTCCTCCAGTGCGTTTTTGGCCCCCTTGTCAAAGACAAAATACAGTAGTTGAATGTTCTTGGGGTTGTTTCTACATCCTCTATTCTGTTCCATTGATCCTCGTATCTGTTTTTGTGCCAGTATTGTGGTGTTCTTATTGCTGTAGCTTTGTAATATAACTTCAAGTCTGGAATTGTGATACTTCTATTTTGCTCTTATTACCCAGATTTCCTTTTGCTATTTTAGGTCTCTTCTGGTTCTATATGAATTTTCGGATTGTTTTCTGCAGTTCTGTGAAGAATACCTTTGGCATTTTGATTGGGATAGTGTTACATATGTTTATAAATTTTGAAAGTTTGGCCATTTGACTATATTAGTTCTGACTACCTAGGAACAGGAGATATCTTTCCATTTTCTGATGTCCACTTTGATTTTCTTTTTCAGAGTACTGTGGCTTTCATTGTAGTGATCTTCCACTTCTTTAGTTAGGTTAATTCTGAAGTATTTAATTTTTCTTGGTACTATTATGAATGATATTTTTTCCTAATTTCTTTCTCAGTGGTTTCTTTATTAGTGTATAGGAACACTATTAATTTTTGTATGTTGATTTTGTATCCTGATACATTATTGAATTTTGTTATTAATTATAAGTGTTTTGGTGGATTTTTGAAGGTCTTCTATGTAAAGTATCATGTCCTCTACCAATAATGTTAGTTTGACTTCTTCCTTTCATATATATATATATATTATATATATATAATATATATATAATATATATATATATTTCTGTTTCTTTTTCTTGCCTAATTCCTCTTGCTAATGTTTTAAATACTATGTTGAACAGAAATGGTAATAGTGGACCTTCTTATCTTGTTCCTGAAATTAGAGGGAAAGCTTTCAGTTTTTCTTTATTTAACATTGTCAATAGGTTTGTCATAAATGGCTTTTATCAAATTGAGATGAAGTCTTTCTATACCTATTTTCTTCAGGGTTTTTATCTTGAATGGATGTTGGATTTTGCCAAAGGCTTTTTCTGCTTATATTAAAGCGATCCTAGGAATTTTTTTCCTTCTTTGTTTATGTGATTATTACATTTATTGATTTTTCATGAGTTGAACCATTCTTGCATCCCTGGGATAAAGCCTGCTTGGTCGTGGTATATGATCTTTTTGATTATTCATTGCATTCTGTCTGCCAGTATCGTGCTGAGCATTTTTGCATCTATATTCATCTATATTTCTCTTTTTCGGTTGGATCATTATCTATAGTTTTGGAAACAAGGTAATGCTAATTCCCAGGAATGACTTTGGGAATACTCATTTCCTTTCAATTTCATTACAGAGCTTGAGGAGTATTGGTGTTAGGTCTTCCCTGAAGTTTTTGCAGAATTCAGCACTGAATCAATCGAAACCTGGGCTTTTCTAAGTTGGTAGGGGGATTTTTACTGTTTCAATTTCATTATTTGTTATTAGATTATTCAGCGATTTTAAATCTTCTTGGCTCAGTTTTAGTGACTCATATATATCTAGGAATCTATCCATTTCTTCTGAATTCTCCAGTATATGGGCATATACGTTTGCAAGGTAGGCATTAATTCTCTCTTTGATTTCAGCAGTGTTCATTGTGATTTCATCTTTTTCATTCCTAATTGCACTGACTTGGTTATTTTCTCTTCTTTTTTGGTTAGGTTGGCTAAGGATTTGCCTATTTTGCTTATCCTTTCAAAGAATCAACTCTCTGATTCATTGATTCTTTACAGTGGTTTTTTTTCCTACTCTGATCTTTATAATTTCTGTCCTTGTACTTGCTTTGGATTTAGATTGTTCTTGTTTTCTAAGATCTTGAGGTATATCATTAAGTTATTTATTTGGGCTTGCTCTGTCTTTGTAATATGGACATTTACAGCTATAAACTTCCCTCTTAGGACTGTTTTCATTATGTCCCATAAGTTCTGGTATGTTGTGCTGCCATTATTATATAGTTCTAAAAACTGTCTTATTTATTCCTTTTTTCTGTAACTATTTATTTAAGCACATATTGTTTAGTTCCATGCATTTGCATAATTTCTGTATTTTCTTTTGCCATTTCTAGTTTCATTGCTCTGTGGTCTAATAATATGTATAGTATAATTTCAGTTCTCTTACATTTACTTAACCTTGCTTTATTGGCTAGTATATGATCACTTTTAGAGAAAGGTCCATGTGCTGCTCAGAAGAATATTTTGCTCTTTTGTGGTGAGACACTCTGTAGATATCTATGAAGCCCATTTGTTTGAGAGTTTTATTCAACTCTGATATTTCTTTGGGGTTTTTTTCTAGTTT